CCATCGGCCCTACAGTTACAGCGTAAAGTCTATGGATGAGTATTGTAAACGTAAGAGTAAACAAATATAAGCAGAAAGCTCCGAACTGCTAAGCTATCGGGAGTTACACGTGTTATTGTAAGTCAACCATAAAAGATAGACATGTGCTGTTGTGGGATATTATTTAGATAATTTTATGTAGAACATTTCCGTCATACATGATTTCTATGTAGCTTTAACTATTAAGCCTGCACACGCGACGGAAGCTTAAAAAATGGAGTAACTTCTCCCGTTTTCCCAATATTTCCCTTCACTGCTCTGCTCCTATTGATCGTAGCGTAATGAAAAGTATACTATAACCTGCCCAAGAGTATGAAGAATAATTGTGCCAAATTTCGTTAAAATCCGTCGAGTAGTTTTTGTTTCCATAACGAACATACAGACAGACAGACAGACAGACAAAAATTTTACTGATTGCATTTTTGGCATCAGTAGCGATCCCTAACCACCCCTTGATAGTTATTTTTTAAATATATTTTATGTACAGAATTGACCTCTCTACAGATTTATTATAAGTATAGATTTTCATACCCTGTCATCATCCCCATTATTTTGAAATAATTAAATCGGTTAAGTTATATTTTTTGATGGAAAGGTTGCAAATGATATTTTATTTAAGTGGTTTTATAGAAATAATGTTAAAAATGTCTTAATATGAATTTTCTTTTCATACGGAAAATAAATTACTCATACAATGACAAAATATTAATATCAACGAAATAAGTGTCCAATAATGTCCAATGTCCAAATTCAAAGAGATGTATGTACAAGTACTTAAATATTTATGGGAGATTTTGTAACTTATGAATTTAAGTGGTGGTCCGAGTGTCCATGGGCGACGGTGATAGTTTTGTACTTGTATGTCCCACATTCGTGCCGAAGCATAGCTCTCCCACACTTAAAATACAAGCTTAATTTACAAACATACTAAACAAGAAACTAAAGACATTCATATAAGAACTAGTCGCTAGTCGCTAGTCGCGGGGAATTCCAATTGATTTATTATTCATGATGATCATTATCACTTAATAACTCGTCTGAGGGAATCCGACCGAAACGAATGACCGTTGACACTTCATTGTACACGTCATCGTCATTATTTATTAATTTATTATAGTTTAGTACATTAGGCTGTCCATTCGTGTAGTGAGTGAGTGACTGAGTGAATCTAATGCTACGGAGTCACGACGTGATTTTCTCCCGAGCCAGCCGCGGTGATGGAACAGAGATTTATTTTAAAAACTCACGAGACCACTGTTTTCTGCGGCCCCCAGCCGCCGCGGTTTTTTTCTATAGGGACAAGCCCGCCACAACCTCCCAAAACCGCTGCGACTCCTGTAAGCCAGGATCTACAGTAGATTCAACCATGAAAACACCGGAACACTGAAGTCCGGCGCGTCCCAGGAACATGAATAACTGTCTTGGTTCCCGCAACAAAGTGAATCAGAAGATATTATAAGAGGAGAAGAAAAACGCGATAGTTTCCACTCCCCAAGGTGAATTACTGCAGGAGACACAGTGAATTAGGCCTAAAGGCACAAAGAAAAGAGACTGTACAACTAGGTGAAGCCCAGTCGCCAAGCACTACAAATTGGAAATTGGAAATTTGACTAAAAGCCGCCGCGGTAGCGATAATTGCCCGCAAACTTGGCGATTGATTATCGCAAGAACGGCGAGCGACTAAACAATCAGTTCATTTCCAGACCGGCCCTCCCATTGTGATCGCCCGTCAATCGATCGCAAAGCGCGCAGGTGCCACCCGCCGCAACTGTGGGTGCAGCGGGAGTCTGAATAGACAGCTCACTAAAGCTGTCAGTTTATTTTTTTCAAACTTGTCTCACTCTGAGCCCATGGCTGGCTACCCATGAGAACGGCTATTCACTTAACGGGTGGCCCGGGGCTCCGGCTTGAAGTGCAGGAGAAGGAACGGGGTGGTTTTTAGTCAGTAAGAGTCTGACACTCCCTCTTTTGCCTCACCCAAGTAAGGCAAGTGGAAGTGGTTAGATGACTTCCCCTAAGTAACTCATAATGAATAAAACCCCTGTTCCTACTCCTGCATAGAGCTGGATCCTCGATAACTTATGACAGTTCTGTGGTAACGATGAAAGAAACCTGGGTTCGGGAGATTAAATAAATACTTATGTTTTCGCAAAACAAAATTATATTTATACTTTACAATCAATTGGCAGTACAAGGAAATATGTAGATTATGTGTAATTGTGTTTAACTTCATTCGTTACGTTATTGCATATATTACTATGAGTACTCGTGTATTATTCCGATTTCCAAGTAAAGGGTGGACAGAAGTGCATCGTTGCGTGTATTAAATGTATTTGTATGTATATATAGTATGTTCAAACTTCTGCCACCGATTTCGCTCGCGTTCTCGTGGAATAAAAGTGCATATGTGTTATTCTGACTGCCTCGTTGGCGAGTGGTCTCAAGTGCTACTGCCGGGCAAGGGGTCTCGGGTTCCATTCCCTGGTCGACCTTTATCCCCAAAGGAATAGGCAGAGGTGTACATTACGGCACTTAATGCCCCTGTACAATGTAACACCCACTTTTCACTATTTATGTTGAGTCCCATGTAATAGGGGGTGAGCCTATTGCCATATACCGGGCACAATTTCAGACTCCGTACTACTACTGTCGTACTTGCGACCACTCGGCCAACGAGGCAGTCAGTGAATAGAAATTACTTATATATAAAGTTTTTCACTTGATCAACTAGTTTCTTGGTGATGTCATAACCAATTGTTATTTTATTTTATTTGCTGTGCAGCAGTTAAGACGATATGTTTATTGTATAGTAGCCAATTAGGTACTAGATATTATGTTATTAGGTTTATTTATTTTAATAAATGATATAACGTCTTTTACATAGATGGGGTAGGCAGCAAATGTTCACTTGTAGCAAAATCAAATTGAACAAAAAAGCTTTTTTAAAAAACGTTGCCCCAAACTAGGTTTTCTCCTGTGCCGAGAGTGTGTTTCCAAACATACAAGGAACAACAATCTGTGGATCACACAAAGAGTTGTTCCGTGCGGGAATCCGCGACACGTAGCGGAGCAGCCTATTGCCCAGTCACCGCACCAACCGTACAGTCATGTCACCAAAATGTCCGTCTTGCGCGAATGTTCGTGTGTGTTGTGTTAACCATTATAACATTAATATTGTATTCTACCACGTAAAAGATAGTACTTTTATGCAGTTCGTGCAAAATTATTCCATAACCATTCCAAAATATCAAAAACGCACAACGTTAATACTTAAGTTTTCACTTCTGCCGGCACTCCTGCAGAAGTGCAACCTGTCATTTTTTTCCACGTTCTCAAACGAGACTAACCGAACTTCAATTTGTAAAAATCCCAAAATCGTCCTTACGTCATTTTGAGAAAGTTTAAAAAAAACATGGCTGCCTATTCACCATAAAACTAAAATAATTATTGCTTCAATTATTATTCACAACATGTCAACAACTTAATTCGATAATATTGACGTCGTAAACCGCTTTTATATATTAATGCAAGGAAAAAATATAAAGACACAAACATCCAATCCATACTAATTGATGGTCTCTCAGTCTTTTTACCTAAGCCAAAATGACTAAGCCAAAATCATGTATTTCAATTAGACCACGAAGACACTTTTGAATGTCAAAAACAAAATATTTAAATATTATATAATAAGAAAAAAAAAATGTCAGTCTTTAGGTCAGTCCTCTAGTAAGCTATTTGCTCGTTCCAAAGTGTAGATTCCTATGGAGAAGAACGAGCAAGAAACTCCATAGGTTACTCTTTGTCAATCAGGTTCACAATACAATTTTTGGTTACATTCTTTCGTTGAGTTCAATTACATTGACAAAAGAGGTCAATAAAGGAGGTCCTTATAAGGAACCCGTCGAGCCAAGAATCTGATAAATATAACCTATCTATATAACAAATTCTACCAGCAATTTAGAACCCTAATACAACTGCAAAAATCTCCAAACTTAGACAATAACTCCATATCTCTTTTTTCAGATGTTCAAAGTTCTACCCATCCTCCTGCTGGTAGTGGGAGCCTATTGCCAAGGCAATGGGGACTTGGACTCCGTGCTTAACCAGATATTTGGACCTCCACCCAGCAATAACAACCAGACTCCCAAACCACAAGCTTCTACCATCGTGCCACCCATCCAGAACCATAGTGGAGGAGGTACGAGTCTAGTTTCTTTGTATTTATATAACTGGTGACCATAGTCTAAGTGCATATATTTAAGTGTGGGAGAGCCATGCTTCGGCGCGAATGGGCCGACTCGACCGGAGTGACGCCACGGCCTTACAGAACACCGAGTTGAAACAAAGCTTGCGTTGTGTTTCGTCGTGTGTTAGGTTAGTGAGGTTACCAGAAGCCCAATTATCTCTCACTCCCCAGTCTCCCCAATCCCCGAATCCCTGATTCCCCCATAATGTTCAAATTCTCAATTTCCAAAAGGCCGGCAACGCACTTCTAACGCCTCTGGTGTTTTAGGTGTCCATGGGCGGAAACGATTGCTTACCATCAGGTGATCCGCTCGGTGGTCAGCTCGTTTAACGGCTTATTCCACGAAAATAATGCTTGTTCCGCGATGTGATGGTACAGTAGAATGCACTACATTACTCTTTCTGTTTCTGCCACTGTTGAAATCTGATCTTAATCCAAATTCTGTGGATAAGGTTCCATTTTTGACAGACTACACAACAAATGAATGTTATTTATTTCAGCATTCTTTGGATATAAAAAATACTTCAGGCCACGTAGTCCTAATAAGTATTACAGCGTAGTTTGAATACATCGTCTATTTGTACCTTCAATTTTATTGTGTATCATTATTAGAGTGATACCAAATCCTCGCAGAAAACCAACATGAAATAACGAACGCGTCGTGTTTCGCCGTATGAGTGAGCGTACAGACGCCTAATCCTTCCCCTATCCTCGTTATCAAAATCACCTTGTCAGGTGTACACCTGAAAAGGTGCTAGGATCTGCTAGGAGCTGCTAATCCTCAAATATCTTAAAATCGGCAACGCACTTGTAATATTATCGGTTTTGCAGGTGTCCTTGAGACGCGCCGATATCCGCATAATATGACATCAGATGATCCGTCTGCTCGTAAAATATAAAAACTTAATTATCACCAGCCGAAAGACATCCAGCCAGAGCCGTATTAGCCAAACAAAGCAAGTGTCAAGGGCGCCAGGTTACAGTAGGGCGCCGAGAGACGCGCGTGCCTATAACTTGACAGCGGCGCAAAAAACAAATTAAGGGCACCTAATGAGGAGCTTATATAGGGCGCTCTTTAGGTTTAACCAGCCTCTGACTCCAGCCGATTACAATTAAGCAGTTACTACAGTACTACAGCCAAACGTATTCTTATTCTCTCAAACCCCTCTCGATGCACGCTAATTTGCTGATTTCAGGCTCCAAAGTTGAATGCAGAGTTGTAAATGATACTGATGAGATCCATATTGTAGAAGCGAAAGGTTCAGCTCTGTTGACACAAGATTACTTTAAACAAGACGAACGTAAGTACTTCTGTCAACAGTGTGTGGGTTTGCTTCTGTTTTTTGGAGTTCATCTGTCTGTGTGTCGATTGTCTTTCTTATGTCGGAATACTCAAACGCTACTCAATTTTAAGTCGCGCTTAAATATAGTTCTGTCACTACAAATTCTTTGTAAAGTGACAGAGATGGCACGATATTTAAGCACGACTTAAAATTGAGTAACGTTTCAGTATTTCGGCATTAGGAATCTTTTTTATAACTTTGACATAGGTTTGTTTCACATCAACCGCATATAAATTAATGGCCATTGCTGACCAAAGGCCTCTTCTCACACGGAGAAAGTTTGAGCATTAATCACCACATTTCCTCAAGGTGGGTTGGTAATTCCAAACATTGGAAATTACAAAAACCCTGATTTCTTCTCAATGATTTCCTTCATCGTTTGGCAGTGGCGTCTAGACATAACTGTTTACTATAATTGTGCTTTGGGATAACGACTTTATGCATACAATGGCACAATAAGCAAAAATTGTAAGTGTTGGAGAGCCATGCTTCGGCACGAATGGGCCGGCTCGACCGAAGTGATACCACGTCCGAGCAGAAAACCGACGTAAAGAAACGCTTGCGTTGTGTTTTGTCGCGTGAGTGAGGTTACCGGAGGCCCAATTACCTTTCCCTTCCCCAATCTCCCCAATTCCTGAAACCCCAACGATCCTCAAACTCCTGATCCCCAAAAGGCCGGTAACGCACCTGTAACGCCTTTGGTGTTCCAGGTGTCCATGGGCGACGCCGATTGCTTACCATAAGGTGATCCGTCGTTTGGTTTACCGGCTTATGCCATAAAAAAATATATGTCAAAATGTCTACTTCTTCTATTGTTTGTCTCGATCTTCTCTACTTCGTTTTTACTTTGAATTCTTTCGGATTACTTCGGATCAGAGTACTGTGTGCGAGTTTTTTAATATTAACGCGATTGGAAAGCTTCGATATACTTCGCTTTTGTGCAGAAATACCATTGATTTGGCTCGCCTGGGACGGCTCGCCTGGAGTGATACCACGGCCGAGCAGAAAACTGATGTGAAACAACACTCCCTTTGTTTTTCACCGTATTAGTGAGGTTACAAGAGGCCCTCCTCTTCTCCAACCCCAGTCTCCAAATCCAGAATAACGGCAACAAACTTGTATCTGGTGTTTTGGGTGTCCATAGGTGGCGCTGATCACTATTCGTGGTGTCATCCATCTCCTCGTGTGATTTGATAACCCATAGCTCATTAAAAATATCTATGTCATATTTTGTTAAAATCTTTTGATTTTTTCTTCTCAGTTCTTACAGAGTGGTCGTTGTTATGAACCATCTAGTTTTGTTTTTGGGGCAGATCACAGAGGTACAAGATGGATTATATCAAGACTTTCACGGGGCGGAGAGTCATGAATGAACGAAATGGTCTTTGTTATATAAGTGAGTCAAGGAAACCAATAGTTATGAAGTAAGATGTAACTTGAGTATTATTTTGTCGACAGCCGAGGATGAGGACCTGTCCTGCAAGCTGCCTGACGGACAGGAGGGAGAGTGCGTCAGCTACTATCTCTGTAACGTAAACAATAACACCGTCATCACGGACGGAGTTGGCGTCATTGATATTCGGTGAGTAGAAGTTATCCTCCTCATCATTAAAAACTTGTCTGCTCTTGACAGTTCGCTGCAGGCAAGAGTATGGGTTACCACTTTTTCAGTGGGATTTGCCATAATATATATACGACGGCAGGCGTACTCTGGGGGGGGCAAAACTGCGCATCGTAAAGCTGGAGGCAAGAGCAGAATAACAAAGGCACCCCTTGCCACGCTGAATGTGGACTTCTGCAACATAAGGGGATTACACACCAACCTCAATGCTGTCCATCACCACCTAGAGACAGCAAAGCCGGCCTTGCTCTTTTTGACTGAGACGCAGATATCGTCTCCGTTGGACACATCCTACCTCACCTACCCTGGGTATGGACTGGAACATTCCTTCCTGCCTAGGGCCGGGGTGTGCGTGTACATCAGGGACGATATCAGCTCACGTCGCCTCAGTAATCTTGAAGGTAGGGACCTGTCCACCTTATGGCTGCGTGTAGATAACGACGACCACCCCCGTGTCTACGCGTGCCTATATAGGTCCCATAGCGGTGATAGCGAGACTGACCGACTCATGGACCACATCCAGACGGCTGTAGATCTTGTGCAGGGGCAGATATCCTCAGCGGAAGTGGTCTTGCTTGGCGACTTCAACGCCCATCACGCCGACTGGCTCTGCTCCAGTAAGACTGACCACGCGGGGAGATCTGTCCACGACTTGGCTCTTGCTTCTGGCCTAACACAACTGGTGACCGTGCCCACGCGAATCCCGGATGTGGAAGGCCAGAGGTCTTCACTGTTGGACCTTCTGCTGACCTCTCACCCGGACGGCTACAGCGTATCCGTCGAAGCCCCTCTTGGCTCATCGGATCATTGCCTTGTCCGGAGCTCTGTATCTTGGACGTGCACACCGCGACTACAAGAGGTACGCGGTCGCCGTGTATGGCACTATAGGTCGGCAGATTGGGATGGGATGCGGTCCTTTTTTGCATCCTACCCTTGGAGGCGGGCTTGCTTCTTGCAGGATGATCCCAACGCCGCTGCCAATTCTGTTGCTGATGTGGTGCTGCAGGGGATGGAGCTTTTCGTCCCATCTTCTCTGGTCCCCGTCGGTGGCAGATATCGGCCCTGGTTTGATGCTTCTACCAGAAAGGCCTCACGCAGAAAGCAGGAGGCCTACCAAGCCTGGGTCGATGCGGCGGTGGCACGGGATGTAAATACCAGTGCACTAAAAAAGGAGTATAACTTTGCCTCCAAGTCCTTCAAAAGAGCTATTGCGGGTGCCAAGTCGCAGCACATCGGTAGAATTGGTGAGAGGCTGGAGCGCCTTCCTTCAGGAACTCGTTCATTCTGGTCGCTCGCCAAAGCTATCGAGGGCAATTTCTGCAGGCCGTCATTTCCACCTCTGCACATGGGTGAGGATTCGTTGGCTCATAACGCAAGGGATAAGGCTCAACTTTTGGCAAAAATCTTTGCATCCAACTCGACACTGGATGACGGTGGGCGCGAGCCTCCTGTTGTGCCTTGGTGCGGAAGGTATATGCCGGATGTGCGGTTCCACCAGCGCACGGTACGTTTGGCGCTTTTATCCCTTGACGTCCATAAGTCGAGCGGGCCTGATGGGATCCCACCCATTGTTTTGAAGATGTGCGCCCCCGAGTTGGCCCCAGTTCTCACACGTCTTTTTCGGCTCTCTTATTCCTCAGGCGTAGTTCCGACGTCCTGGAAGACAGCTTTAGTCCACCCAATCCCTAAAAAAGGTGATCGATCTAACCCGTCTAACTACAGACCGATAGCCATAACTTCCCTCTTCTCGAAAATAATGGAGTCCATTATTAACTGCCAGCTCCTGCGTTACTTAGAGGATCATCAGCTGCTCAGTGACCAGCAATACGGTTTTCGTAAAGGTCGGTCTGCTGGTGATCTCCTTGTTTACCTAACGCATCGGTGGGCACAGGCGATCGAGTCTAAGGGGGAAGCGTTGGCAGTAAGTTTAGACGTGGCGAAGGCCTTCGATCGGGTTTGGCATAGAGCGCTTCTTTCGAAGCTTCCTTCCTACGGACTTCCCGAGAAATTATGCAAATGGGTCTCCTACTTCCTTGCAGACAGAAGCATTAAAGTCGTCGTCGACGGTGAATGCTCTGACTTGATGTCTGTAAATGCAGGCGTCCCTCAAGGCTGCGTGCTATCGCCTACATTGTTCCTCCTCCATATCAATGACATGCTGCAAATCAGCGGCATTCATTGTTATGCGGATGACAGCACAGGCGATGCCTACTACACCGGCCGCGCTAACATTTCTCGGGAAAACGTCATAGAGAGCCGAAACAGACTCGTGTCTGAAATCGAGACCTCTTTAGGGAGAATCTCTGATTGGGGTGGACTTAATTTGGTCCAATTTAACCCCACTAAGACACAAGTCTGCGTGTTTACCGCTAAGAAACTGCCGTTGGTCGTCTCTCCTCAGTTTCAAAGCACCCCCCTAACTGCCTCAGCCGGTATTGGAATACTTGGTGTCAATATTTCGAGCGACGTCCAGTTTTGCGGTCATTTAGAGGATAAGGCCAAATTAGCCTCGAGGAAGCTTGGTGTGCTCAATAGATCGAGGCAGTATTTCACCCCGACCCACCGCCTGCTTCTATATAAGGCACAGGTGCGGCCCCACATGGAATACTGTTCTCATCTTTGGGCGGGGGCACCCCAGTACCAGCTTCTTCCTCTGGACCGCATTCAGCGGCGTGCCGTTCGGATTGTTGGATGTCCGGATGTTTCAAACCGGCTCGACACTTTGGCAATGCGTAGAGATGTAGCTTCATTGTGCATTTTCTACCGCTTATACCACGGGGAGTGCTCTGAGGAATTGTTTGACCTGATACCTGCCGCATCTTTTCGCCATCGACCCTCACGACAGCATATGCATCCCCATCATATAGATGGTTGGCAGGCCACAACTGTGCGGTTCTCACGTAGCTTCCTGCCTCGCACAGCAAAACTGTGGAATGATCTGTCGTCGGCGGTATTTCCGAACCGATACGACCTTCAAACCTTCAAGAGAAGAGCGTACTTCTTTTTAAAGGGCCGGCAACGCACCTGTGACTCTTCTGGTGTTGCGGGTGTCCATGGGCGGCGCTGATCGCTTACCATCAGGTGATCCGTCTGCTCGTTTGCCTCCTATTCCAAAAAAAAAAAAAAAAAATGCTGAACTGGTCCCATTTCACCGCAGACTTGAGACATGAACATGTATCCATCAGTACCTACTAATAGAAAAACACACCTGTACATGTCACTTGTTTTTTAGCGTGAAATATTGTTTTTCTTTCTTTTAACACCGGAGGATTTCGTGTAGCTAAAGTCCATAGGCGCTAATCACACAATCAGGTCATCCATCTACTCATTTGTCACCCCATGCCATAAAAAATCCATCATTAGAGCTATTTTCTTATACATTTTTTTTTCTGTAGTGTGCGCGATGGTCCTTGTGCGTCGTACATTGACACCTGCTGCCTGGTCCCCGACAAGAGGCCCCCAGACCAGCCTGTGAAACCTGACCCCAAACCTGACCAGCCCAAGGTAAGATCAGTCAGTTTCAAGTCATACGGTAGTTGACAACTAGTCAAATTCAATACTTTTATCGAAACGTCAACAACGATACTTTTCTATGAATTTTGCACGGAATACCATCTTATGACGTCATCATATTTTCGCGTCAAATAGCACATTTATATCTAAAAAAAAATGCTACAATAAATCGAAAATTAAGTATGTATATCGGCAAATCAATGAATGATAGTGTAACTATTTTTCAATATTTAATTGGACTGAAAAATCTAAATAATTTATTTTTGAACCGGGAATCTACCCAATTATATCTACAGATATACATATATACATACATAACTTCACGCCTGTCTCCCGTGGGAGAGAGGGAGAGACTATGGAACGCCAATTGGTACGATTCTTACCACAAAACATATCAATCTTCTTTATATGTTCTGTGATTCTTACATACCTCATTCGGAGTGATTCGCTTCATCAACTGTCATCAGTATTTTATAATAACTATCGTGAGACATACTAAATTAATTATAAATCACGGGTTACTCACGTGAATATACTGAGAAAAGCTCTACTAGTTTCGAACCACAGAGGGGTTCTTCCTCATGAGCAGCGTGCGCGGTCGCGGCGACGTCCGCGTCGCGCAGCTCACTGGTTCGGAACTAGTATATTCAAGCTTTTCTCAGTATATTCACGTGAGTAACCCGTGATTTTTAATTAATTTAGTCATCAGTATTATTACTTTTTAATAATGTATTCGTATAAACTTGTTTATATTGGTGTTTGGACTTTAAAAGAGACTCCTGAGTTGTTTTTCGTTGCATGTTCACATCTTACACAGGGAAATGCCGTACGCAGGCCAAGATCGATGTGAAATATTTATAAACAAATCATAAGTGTAAGTGGTAACTAGGTACAACTATATAATTCCGCAGTGTCAGAGGCCTTAGTACGAGTTTGATTTTCGTTTAAAGTATTCGAAACGAGTACGCGTTCGGCGCTCTAATTGGTCGGCTCCAATGAACCAACCAATCGAAGAGCTGGACAAGGTTTCGTTTCGATCACTATAAACGAAAAAGAAACTCGTACTAAGTCCTCTGGTCAAACTTATTCGAATCAGTAATATGTTTTTTTTGGCCCGTTATTTATCCAGGGCCGTACTAAAATTTTCTGGGCCCCTATATAACAAAAGTTTGGGGTGTAAATGAATTTTGTTTACAATATCAATGTAGGTTTTTTGTGTATTTGCCAAGTAGGCCGGTCAGGGGTTCGATTTGTTTCAGACAATATACTATATTATTGGTTATTACGACACGTGTAGATATGTTTTCTTTGAAGCAATAACACGATTACGTAGGTACTCAATGCCTATAACAAAATGAAACGACATTAATTCGTACTTGAAAAGTACTATAAAGTCACTTTGAACCTTATTCAATGGTGATAAGGCATGCAATTAGATTTCATGAAGTACCTAACGAAGTTTTTTATTATCTTGATAATGCAAGCAAAGTCTGTTCGTAGGTTTTGAACACAACAACATAAAACCAGTTAATGATATACTAATTCCGTGTCCGATGAATGATTAAATACCTTATTACAAGTGAATACGATACAAAATGACTTTGCATCGCCATTCAAGTTCACTCATGTTGTTATTTTACCTTTTTTGTTGCATTTGAACGCTGTGGACAACAAAAGATTTAGTATTTTATGTGTGTTGTTATAAAGTTTATATCAGAGGCCATTACGTGGCCAATTTATAGGGACTATTAATAAAATATTGCAGAAGTATCGTTTATTGGTTGTATCACGTAGGAGAGCCATGCTTCGGCACGAATAGGCCAGCTAAACCGGAGTGATACCACGGCCCGACGTAAAACAACGCTTGCGTTGTGTTTCGTCGTGTGAGTGAGGTTACCGGAGGCCCAATTACCCCCTCCCCGTCCCCAATCTACCCAATCCCTGTATCCCCAAAGATCCTCAAACTAAATATCCCCAAAAGGCTGGGAATACACTTGTAACGCAAGCGTCGTGTCACGTCGGTATTCTGCTCAGCCGTGGTATCGGTCGAGCCAGCCCATTTTTTTTTTTAAACGTTGCCCCACACTAGGATTTTCTCCTGTGACGTGGGTGCGTTTACAAACATACAAGTTCACATACACAATGACACCCAGACCCGAAACAACAATTTGTGGATCACACTAAGTGTTGTCCCGTGCGGGAATCGACCCCGCGACACGTTGCACCGCAGCCGGTTGCCCAGCCACCGCACCAACCGTGCAGTCATTAGTGCCGAAGCATGGCTCTTCCCACACTAATAATACAATAGCTAGTATAGTTTAAACAGTTATATTATTATCAAGTTATTATTGTATTTAATTAAACTGACCTCAATAAATTGTTATTTCCTCAAATATTTAGTACCAATTTGATAAACATAAAAGGATTAGTTCATAAGACACTTATTCGTCCTCAATGAGGATAAATAAAATAATCCCGACATACATTATAAACAACCAATTAAATTAACAAAATAAGGAAAAATAGTACTTATTTATTGCTTTACCTTTTAGGTATAAATTTTATTATAATTGGTATGTTTTTTTTTAATACACGAATAAATACCTGTTTGGTTTCTGAATTATAATTTTACTAGCTTTTACACGCAGCTTCGCTCGCGTCACAAAAGGATAAAAAGTAGCCTATGTGACATATACCAATACACACAGCGCCATTTATACCAATAATTTCGTTTTCCCTCGAGAATATCAAATTATTGTTTAATCCAGACTTCTAACTTTACGTCTGCAAAAATTCAAAGCAATCGGTTTAGAACTTACGGCGTGAAAGCGGCGGAACAAACAAACAAACTCACTTTCCGATTTATAATATTAGTAAGGATACTTTGATTTTTCTCCGATTATGAAAAATCTACAACATTTGTTCATACAAAACTAGTCTTTACACATCGAAAATAAGGTCTATAATGGAGTAAGTGGAGAGTGGCCACCGGTGACCACTTGAGGACTCTGCTAGAGTTGCCAACCGTACTCTAATCCTACTACTATTATAAAGGCGAAAGTTTGTAAGTATGGATGTATGGATGTTTGTTACTCTTTCACGTAAAAACTACTGAATGGATTTGAATGAAACTTTACCACAATATAGCTTATACATCAGAATAACACATAGGCTATAGCTTATACATCAGAATAACACACATAGGCTACAATTTTTGAGGTTTCTAATGTGAGGTCGTAAAAAAACACATTTTTTGCGCTTACATTGCAAACGCTGACTGAATCCTACAAGATAGATCAAAACAATGTACTAAAGTATTGTACAACTTAAAAAGGTCTACAAAAAAGTCCGTGATGGTATATGTTTATCTCTTAGGAATAACCCACAATAACCATTTTTTATCCTTTACTTTATACGAGAAAAAAGAGGATGAAAGTTTGTATGAAACTTTGTCAGTTTTTAACTGATCGGGTTGAAATTTGGCATGCAGATAGATGTTATGACGTAAGCATCCGCTGTGAAAGGATTTTGATAATTTCCACCCCCAAGGGGGTAAAATAGGGGATGAAAGTTTGTATGAGACTTTGTCAGTTTTAAACCGATCAGGTTGAAATTTGGCATGCAGATAGATGTTATAACGTAAGCATCTTCTAAGAAAGAATTTTGATCATTTTCACTCCTAAGAGGGTAAAATAGGGGGTGAAAGTTCGTATGGAACTTTGTCAATTATAAAACGATCTGGTTGAAATTCGGCGTGCCGATAGATATTTTGACGTAAACATCCTCTAAGAAAGGATTTTGATCATTTCCACTCCCCAAGGGGGTAAAATAGGGGTGAAAGTTTGTATGAAACTTTGTCAGTTTTACACCGATAGGGATGAAATTCGGCATGAAAGTAGATGTTATGACGTAGGCATCTCCAAGTAAGGATTTTGATCATTTCCAACTCCAATGGGATAATGTAGGGGATGAAAGTTTGTATGAGGCTTTGTCAGTTTTACACAGATCGGGTTGAAATTCGGCGTGCAGGTAGATATTATGACGTACACGTCCCTTTAGAAAGGTTTTTGAACATTTCCACCCCAAAGTGGGTAATATAGAGGGTGAAAGTTTGTGTGATACTTTGCCAGTTTTAAACCGATCGGGCTGAGACTTTGCATGCATAAAGTTACTATGACATAGGTATCTCCTTAGAAAGGATTTTGATGAATTCCACCCCTAAGGGGATAAAATAGGGAATGATAGTTGGTGTGAAAATGGGAATGAAAATTGAATCTAGAATCATTGAATCTTTTTGAATTACATTCGGTAAAACGATGATTTGGGACCTGAGTAACGTATGATAGTTTTTATCTCAGAAGTCCCTCGGGAACGGGAACTATGCGTCAATGCTCTAGGACTCTCTATCCTTTAACCACTGAACTTATTTCATAGAGATTCTGTACAACAGTCGAAGTTTTTATTACTCAAAACTTACGTGATCGGGCCGGGACTGGTAAGAACCCTGCGGGATTTTTAATTTATTGAAATTACGATAAATCATTTCACAATAGGTAAATCTTAATTGGGCACTGAATTGATTCTGATGAATTCTGTCAGAAGGCATTAATCTACGCGGACGAAGTCGCGGGCAACAGCTAGTATAGTATATTGTCCTCTATATAACATTAATTGGTAAATGCGTGTCATTTTATGCACTTTTGTTAACGTTTTTTGTTTAGTCCGATTTAGATATTACTAGCTGTGCCTGCGACTTCGTCCGCGTGGAATAGTGATTCACAGCCCCTCCCTAGTAGGTGAGAGCGTGATAATATGTACCCTATGCGTAGACACGACCTGTTAGTAATATTAATGCAAAATTTGAAGTAACTCCATGCAGAACTTCAAACGAGGCAGAACAG